TAGGGACTAGGGGGGGATGGCACCCTATGGGATATTTTAAGTTCATAGTTTTGTTAGGAGGGCTGTAGCCCCCCCAGAATTTCAACCCTAGATGCGCCTATGATAAAATGCCTACCAATTATTAAATAGATGGGTGTTTTTGATAAAAATAATTAAATTAATTTGTTGACAGTGATAAAATAATTAATCATAAGTGTGACTTTTCGCTAGTCGCTCTACGCTTATAAAAAATTTATTACATATTGTATTATGACAATGACTCACACCAGTCACACCTGCAAATTGCAATCACACCTAACTAATTACTAAATAAATATATTCAGTAGGTACCTATCTAATTTATTATTTTTATTTAATTTATTTTGTTACAGTTTGTTTGATGGATAGAATGCTGTAATAATCATCAATATTAGAGAAGTAATGAATAATATTTTTAAACGCTATATTGATGCAATGAAGTTCCTTAATCCTTACTAAATGAAAATAAACACTACCAGGGTAAGTAATTTAAATTAAATATTTATAATTGTTGTTTAGATTAATCACATTTTAATTTAGATTTGTTTGAATATGAGTTTGTAGGTCAAAACACTTAAATACCGAAAATAATTGTGCAGCATCTGATAGTTGCTTTTGGTGAAGTGGATTGGATTAATGCTCACAATATTTATGTTGGATACATAATGACAATACAAAATAGTATAGTAAGTTTATATATAGACTATATTATATTTATGTTTAAGAGTTAAGCATTATAAATTAGCCATAACTACAATTTAACCTGTTACAGTGTGTAGTGTCCTAAGCTTGTACCTAATAATAACTAGATAAATACATTCAATATTATCCTCACAATTTGGAGGCATCAAAAGAAATTAATGTTCTATTAACAATTCCTATTTTTGAGTAGAAGGTTTTTAGTATTTTGTATTTTAAAATTACTTTACTACTACCAAAATATATTGTAAAAATAAATAAATATCTATAAGTTTAGTTATTTAGATTCAAATCGTGCAAACTGCACTATGGATTGAAATTATAAGTATTAATCAGAATGTTGTTGTTATTGTTCATTAACTGTATGGTGTAGTCACCACCCATGGCCACCTTAAGATTTTTTTCTGTTGATTTATTCAATTTATTTATTTAATTTATTCTATATATTCTTTAGATTAATACCTACATAACTGTGATAAATAATACAAGTAGATTAATGAAATTATTAAATGCAAACAAATATGCCAGAAACTTTTATTAAAAAAACAAATTACGTTATCTGAATAAATATATAAATAATATCAACAACTTTTTAACAATATTATAAAATTAATAATCAACACTTGGTAATATTTAAGTGATTGATCTATGGGTTTTAAAATAAATAGAGTTTCATCAATACCACCTATATGGCTATATAAATTCAGAAGTACACATTTTTAATTCTTAAAGATTTTGTTAAGCGATGAATGAAAAAGTGACAAACAAGATATTGAAAAATATTATAACAATGTTCTAAACTGTTTTTTTTAATACTTTTTATCACCCATTTAATACATTGGTGTTGATGAATACAACAATAACCATAGTGTCAAAAAAACTAAAAAATTACACTATTTTCAAATAAAATATAAATGACTGACCATAGAAGGGGTAGTGGCTATAGGTGGCGACTCCACCATACAAAAATAATATTATACTTTGGTATAAGTTCTTAGAACTTCTGAAACAAACAATAATTATTAATTAGTATAAGTTATAAGTATTAGCTATAAGTGTGTGACTCTGTATGGTGAAGATTTTCGTAAATTGCAAAACAACACCTGGTTAAATGGAACTGTGATTGACGCACTGCTATTGACTTATGTGAATAATGAAATTGGTTATATTCCTGTGGAAATAAGCAATACAATTTGGTCAAGTACCAAAGTTAAAATAGCCAAATTTTATTGGACTAAATACTGTGTGTTATTTCTACCCATCAATCCTGAAGGTAATCATTGGACTTTATTTATTATGGACTTCATTTTGGGTTGTGTATTTTACTTGGATCCTCTGCGTCCAGAATCAGGTGACTTGTACTTACCTAGATTAAAAAAAATGTTGTTTTCAATGTGTGGTAATGAAAAAGCAAAATATTTGCTGCATAAAATGGTTCTTAAAAATATTGAGTATTCTTTGCAGAATGATAGTAACAGTTGTGGAGTGTTTGTGTTGTATTATTGTAGTACATACAATCCAATGTTTAAACAGAGCTTTTCAAAGGAAGTTAATGTGAGTGATTGAAGAAATACATTGCAGCATCGATGTTTAATGTACTCTGATAATATCAGTGAAAGATGCCTTATGTGTGCACAAAATATAAAAGTAAGTTTTACTTGGATTAAGTGCAATACATGTGAGCGAAGAGTTCATAATGTGTGTGTAGGTGGTGTATGCTACAAATTTATGACTAAAGAATTGAAAAATGAAAACTTCACTTGTATCTTATACAATAAGTATATTAATTAAGTACCTATTTTATAATTACAAAATAATAAAGTACAAAATAAAAACTAATATGAAATAAAGATAAACAAACTAATACAATACCTATTGTAAGTAATGAATGGTTGGTTATATAAGTTGTGTGTAATTTATAAATTACACGTAGAGTAAAATGGAATCTATTACCTAACATAAAATTGGGTACCTATGTAACTAAGTAATATCTTTAAAAGTGGGAATTAACTAGGTAGGTAGTAAAAATGTTTAAATTAAAAAAAAGTTAATTGTTTTAAAATTAACTTAAGGGGATTGGAAGCGGCGATTTTCTGTCTTTGTCTAACACACGTGCAACATAGGATTATAGACGTGTTCTATTTCCAACGTACCGATTAATCTAGTGATGCGATAAGAATTCTGAAAACAGATTTGAATTTGTCGTCAAGTCTACTTGAGATCGACTTTCCCACATTTTTGATATTTTGATTAAAACTTCTCCAAAAATTTAAATATGGCAATTTTTTAATTACTCTTTTTAATATATCATTTTTAAGATTTTTGGGGGATAATATCAAAAATGTGGGAAAGTCGATCTCAAGTAGACTTGAAGAAAAATTCAAATCTGTTTTCAGAATTCTTATCGCTTCACTAGATTAATCGGTACGTTGGAAATAGAACACGTCTATAATCCTATGTTGCACGTGTGTTAGACAAAGACAGAAAATCGCCGCTTCCAATCCCCTTAAATTCAGAATGTAACCAGTTAAATTTATTATTTATTAACTATCAACTTTTGACTTAGAACAATCTTGTGTTCACTTAACTTAGGTTATCTTGAGTTAATTATATTCATTAACATGCCCACAATTGCAAATCTTAGTGTTAACTCCACCATTGACGGTCCTCAGTCCGTATGAAAAAGGAGGAAGGACATTTTTCTTTTTTAATTGAAGTATTAAAAATTAATCATGCTTCTCTTGGTTTTAAAGTAATGTATTATTCTTTTAAGTGGTTTTTAAATCTTAATATTATTTTCTATATTGTGTTTTTTTTTATTTTGTAGGATATACCATACTGCCATTGTCCAACTGTGAAGAAGTAGGTAGCCAATTTTAATAGTGCAAATCTTCGAAGACCAGGATGTGTAGATCCTGTGTATTGGAAAATGGCAAAATATACATAGTTCAGACTTCAGAAATTTAGTTAGAGATGATTTATGGAAATTGGATTCATTAATCTTTGGACATTCAAAGTAACTTTATGATAAACATTAGTAAAACCCTATTAAATGTATTTTTTTTAATTTTGTAGACTATACCATACTACCATTGTCCGACTGTGAAGAAGTAAGGTAACCAATTTTAGTAGTGCAGATCTTCGAAGACCAGGATGTGTAGATGTGAATTGGAATGTGCAGTGCCGTAACTAGGCTACTTGAGGCCTGTGTGTAAAACCAAAATATTGAGGCCCCTTATTATCTTTTTCAATACACACCTCAAAAACTTTTTTTGCAATTTTTAAAGTCAGCAGACAAAAATTCGGGCTTCAACAAAAAAAATTTTTATTTAAAATAATCTATGATTTTAAAACAATTTCTCAAGGCTATAACTAACTCAAAAAAGTAAAAATTTTCCAAAATGTAATTTATTGAAAATATTAATATAAATATTTGGTGAAAACTTCAATGGTCTACGGTTATTAGTTTTCGAGTTATACTAAAAAATATAATTTTTGGTTTTAGGTAAAAATGACAATTAAGATATATTTACGTACATATTGTTAACAGATAATCAAATAACAAAATCTTTTGTAGTGAAATGAAGAGATTCCAAAAATATCCTTTTGCAATATTGAATTGGTTGGAAAATCCAATATCTGAAGATACAGATTACGAATTGATTTTAGAACTCATATATTACATTTGTAACAATAAAGATGATGGTGCAATACTTGTGTTTCTTTTTGGATGGGATCAAATATCAAAACTGACTAAAATTTTAAAAGACTACAGCTTTGGAAGTACATGTAAAGTATATTGTATAAATGTAGAATTTCATAAAAATTTTGATATCTGTTTATAAATATAATTTTTTTATTTTATAGCTCGGTACATACTGATTCTTTTGCATTCCATGTCACCTACTGTATCTCAAAAATCTGTTTTTGAATCGCCGCCTCGGGGTAAGCATTAAATATTAAAATTCTTTAAACGCATTTTTGTCTAATGTTAGCATTATAATAGGTTTTCGTAAGATCATGTTATCCACAAACATAGCAGAGACTTCAGTTACCATAGACGATGTAGTTTATGTTATTAATAATGACCGGAAGAAATTAAAAGGATTCGATGCAGAAAATAATATTGGACCTCTTAATGAAGAATGGGTTAGCTTAGCTAATTGTTGACAATGTCGTAGTAGAGCAGGTCGTGTAAGACCTGTTATTTGTTACCATTTGTATACAATTGGACGTGATAGATCATTTAATGATTATGTACTGCCTGAGATGATATTGATATGATGAAATTGCAGCTGGATCAAGCAGCAGAATTTAAAATTAAAATTATGGAATCTCAATCAGCATTAAAAAAAGAATTAGAAAAAGTTAAAATGGAGAAACAAGATGCATTAGAAGAAAAAGACGAGTATAATGAAATGGCGGAGACTTTAGAAATGGCTGAATTGAATCCAGAAACACTTCAATTAGAATTATACCAAGCAAAAGAGCGTATTGAGGAATTAACAGTAGATTTAGAACTCTTAAAGGCTGAGTTTGAGAAAGGAAATGTAAGTGAAGAGGGAGAAGATGGTGCCAATTCTTTTAAAGTCAAGCAACTTGAACAACGAAATGTACGTCTTAGAGATACACTATTCAAGTATAAGATGCTTTTATATTATTATTGTTGAATAAAATGATTTAAAATGATTGATTCCTATTTAGTTGACAATTATTGAAACTTTAGATTACGAGACTTATCTGCCCACGAGAAACACCAAACACAAAACTTACAAAGAGAAATCGAAGAAATGACCAAACAATGTAATGATTTACAAAAGTCTAATGAAGAACTAGCATCTCAAGTTAATGATTTGCATGAACAGGTTTTATATTAATTTTTAAATAGATAGTTTCCAAGTATTAATATATTATTATATTTTAGGTTGATGCAGCTTTAGGAGCAGAGGAATTAGTTGAGCTTCTGGGTTAACAGAAATTGAATTTGAAATTAGAATTGGAGAAAGCAGTGACTGATCTAGAAGTGATACAAGATATTCATGATCAACTCCAAGAAGATAGTACAGAGTTGGAAATGCAATTACGTAAAGAATTAGAAATGGCAAATGCTAATATTAGAGAGGTTTTTAATAGTATTAATAGCAAACATTTTATTTTTATTTATACCTAAGTCATATTTATTTTAAAGTGTGTCAAAGGAAAAGGACAAGCATTGGAAAGTTTAGCTGAACGGAATTTGGTTATTGTAAAATTTAAAGGTCTGGTTAATAAGAGAACTAAATCAAGATCTACAAACTCAATTAATGGGAGAATCTGCTACAAAAGATGAAGTCCGGTCATCAATACCAGAAATGCTTGACTTTAAGGTTAACTATAAATTAAAATATTTATTACATGGAAAAATAGTTAAAAATTTTGTTTTTGTATTCCTAGTTTACTTCAAGACTCTAGAGATTCACAAAATGATATTTAAAGTATTAATGAGTAACAAGATTGGATGGACTCTAAAAGTCACCTCAGAAAGTACATACTCACATCTCTTATGGTTTATTTGATGAAAATTCAACAAACATGTCAAGGTAATGTTACACTACAATAATAATTTATTTTAATTAAACATAGTTCCAATATAAGCTAAAATACTTCTACCAGTGCCTAGCTATAATTTTTGCTATAAAATCAGGTATTTTGTATTTTATGCTATGTTTTTATGAGTAGTATACTTAAATATGATAATGACAATATGAGATACACAAAATAAAAACATTTCTTAATATTAGTATCAGATAAATATATAATTATTGAAAGCCTGCACGTATTAATAACAAAATAATAATGTCTTTTAGTAATTATAATATAAGATAGTAAATACACCAAAATGTAATTTAATAACAAAATTAAAATAACTTGTCATGTTATAGATTAGTTGAATAATCATCTTGTGAAGAATCACCATCAGAAAAGGCACCAATCAAAATGGATAATAAGTTTACCAGAAAAAAACAAAGAAATCCCAAAAATTGGAAACAATCAATCAATAATGATTTGACTGAAAAAGGACTTGAACATGTATCTACCACAGTGTCAGCAGAAATGATAAAATTTTATTTATATTAAATTATAAATCCTTAATTACTTCAAAAAGTAAAAATAAATCAAAGGACAAAATGTTACCAGTATAATTTCTACAAAACTGATAAAATATTGATTAGTCTGCAAAAAATTATTCTTAAACTTATTATGTATTAGCCAAAGGTTATTTATAATTGTCATTCATCAATGAACCCACTTCCATTAACTCCACCTGATAAAAAGCGAGGCAAGAATACAACTTGTCATATTAAAGCAGAGGACAAACAATATGCCATAGATCATATATCTAGTTTCTCTACTGTTGCATCACATTATTGTCGACTTGATACAAAAAAGCAAGATTTAGTTGCAAATAACAAAAATGTACAATCTATATACAAATAAATGCTTTATAGATTAGAGCTCTAGAACGCCGGTAAAAGCTCACCTGAATAGATCATTATTTAATTGTAATTTAAAGTATGGATTTTTCCCTCCTAAAAATGATTTATGTGCTACATGTGAGGAATTTAAAGTATCAAGTAATGAACAATGTCAGTATGAAGAACACATGCTGAAAAAAGATACGAGAATGGAAAGAGATGAAGACAAAAATAAATGTGATCAAGAAAATGTAGTTGTTTGTTTTGTATTACAAAATTTTATCACACTTCCAAAAACAAATGTCGGCCCAGCGTTTTATAAAAAAAAATTAAATGTTTAAAACCTTACAGCACATTTGTCTTCTTGATGAAACAATAATTGTTTTAATAATTATGTGGTTTTTTAAAGGGTAATAAAATACCAGGATAATATTATATTGTATTAATTTTAAAATATGTAAAAAAAAATAATGTGATTTTTAGTAATAAAATAATATGTTTTATTAATATTAGTATTTATGATATAATTTTGTTTGAGTGAAATGAATACAGTACCTACACAAATAAAAAAAATAATAAAATATTGTAGAGTGTTATAGTTGAATATGGAAGAACGTTCTACGTGCGTTCCAAATAACTTTAAAAAAAAATGTATAATACAGTTTTCTTTTTTAGTTGTTCCTGAACATTTACGAATTGCTACATAGCACGTTATTCCCGCCCACCCTTCAATTATTGGTAGATCGGGAAATGACCTTGCGATAAATAACTGAAATAGAAAACAAGCATAATATATTGCAGACCACAATCATTTCTGTAAAATAACACACGATTTATCAAAAGACCGTTTATGTGCTGAGTGTAGAAGTTCTATGGATTTATCATATTAAAAAATATATTTTATATCATCTATGGCAATCGCCAATTGTCGACATTCGTCTGCGACGATTAACAATTCTAATAATTTTAGTGAAAAAAAAAATAATAAGCCATCAATTTAGACAGATAGTTCGTTAAGCCGTATACATTATAATGTAAGTTTTAACACGAATTCGCACATTTCGTTATGTTCAGGTAATTTTCATAAAATATTTCGATAATTTCAAGTTACAGTTCGGAACGAGATGAAGATAGGTAGCTGTTTCTTCGGTGGCGTCACGAACTCGACGTTTCCATTGTTGATGATGCACTCTAGCTAGTAGCTAGGCTTCACCGGAAGAGTCGATGTTTCAGCGTAAGTTTGTTTTCATAATTTCATATTATTTTGGAATTTACGTTATATTTTTAGGCATTTTAACAATTAAAAACATAATATAACGTAATGTTGTAGTAGAAGCTGGAAACTGTAGTACCTATATTCTAATTTATAATCCAATTATTGTAATTCTTTAAATTTTTTAAATTTTAATAATTTAATGTAACATTTATTATGCCTACACAAAACACGCTTACCTTCCAAAATTGAATTTTTCACAAAATTTGTTGTTTTAACAATAAATGACAATTTTAGGTCCCTATTATGGTGAAAGTATTTAATACAAACATACAATTATTATTCGAAAATAAATTTTCCTATATTATTATTTACTAAATACAAAGAAACTTAAAAATAAACCATATGATCATTGATTACATACAGAGTAAATAGATTTATTATGCATGGAAAACGAAGGTTTATTTTGACTACCTACTTATCGTGTACATATTAAACACAAAATAGAATTAATAACAAAAAAATTAAAAATTAAATAGACATCATAGTAAAATCAAAATATTCATCGCTCCGCTCAAAATCTAAAATATAAATTATAGGTACCCGATACAATTAATAATATTAAATAATAATTAATAATTTTGTGATCAGCAGTATTCGTAGAAAATGTTAGACTTGGAATTTTACAAATCTAGTTGGTATTATAGTAGGTACTGTAAATTTAATGTACCTACTTAGGTAGGTACTGTATATCTTCATGTTAACTCTAAAATCCAGGAATCACATTTTCATTTAATGATTTTTAAAATACAATATTATGCTTTTATAAAAATATGCTTGTACTTCTGATATATATTCACCATATTAATAAATAGTTAAATTAAGAAACGAAAATAATAATTAAAATAATATTTATATCATATTTAATATTATTTTAATTGAAATTCAAAATTATAAACTATTTTGATTTTTGTCATAATATAAAATTTCAACGAACAAATATTGTTCCTTAACACGGAACTCTTTGTCATAAAAAGTTGCGTTACCTATATGAAATCCGTGGATTCATCATATTGACGTACCTACCTAGTATAATATCTATCATTTATATTCCATGGCAAATCTCAGTCATTGCAGAGGACACAGTCGTCATTAAAAATTCCAAAATTTCAATAAGCAAAGCAGATGCGTTTCGTATAATTTTATTTTTCATAAATCACAATATTTTAAGTTCTGTATATTATTATGGAGATTTTCCTCGTCAGCCTCGCAGTGAACACACGTCACGGATTCCGCCGAAAGAATCGATGTTTAAAGTAAATTTGTTTTCATATTCTTTTGGGGCTTAAATTTACTTTTAAGAATTAAGATAAATATTTAATGTCACGAAAAATGTGTTATTGTATACGCATATTTTATAAATTGTTTTTCCATTCCCCGGTCGTAGAATAATTGTAATTAATAGGTGAATATGAAAATTGTTTACTTGAAAAAGACATATACTTTGGTTTAATTTATAGAAATATATGTTCTAACTGATAATAGTCATAAAATACAATTTTAATTTATAACTGGTCATTTTTTTTCAAATCCAACGTTATAAGTTATGGGTAACTATATTAACTTAGTGTAACATAGGTACTCAACTTCTATTGCTCTCCTAATTGATATAAAATAAAATGACTCGTAGATTGTGATACATTTTGTAGAAATTTGAACTTTAAATGCCTATAAAACAAAACTTGCCTATGTATTTGTAATATTTTTTAACTTCTATTATATCAACTTACGAGGAACTTTGTACCTATTATTTTTAAGCTTTTTGACCCGACGAATAAAATTTTAATGACATTTATAGAATACAGAACTAAAAACATTTCATACCTCAAATGTCTTTAATAAATCACTGAAAACGAGTCGAAATATTTTGAACATTTTATAATGTATAGAAAATGGTAGTTTAAACATTGGATGGACATTTTAAATATCGACGGTTAATAGTTGTTGAATAACAACAAAATAAGAAAATGGTTTTACGAGAATCATACACACATTATTGTAAAATCAAAACATTCATTGCTCCCTTAGTCCGCTCTAAAAAACAAACTAAGACATAATAGTTAAGTAGGTATAATACATAAATTAAACATTATACATATAAAATGTAATAGGTATCCGTAACGCTTAGGTCATAAGAATATTGTTGAACATTTTACTGCAGGCTGCGTATTATTTCAGAAATGGTATTTAACTCGTCAGTGAAGATTTGTCAACTGGGAATAATATATCATAAGCATACTGAAA